AAAAAATTTTGGTTTTAGAGGTTTTGGCTAGAAAATGTTACTTTTGACCCACTGTGGATTGATAAGATAATATAAATACTGTAATTCAAGAATTTATATTTGAATTAAATAATTTTTCATTTAGTCAAGCTGAAACAATGTAGTTACAAAATAACAATTTTAAAAATTGTATGAACATAAAAAAATTAGATAAAAACGTTATCAATAAACTACAATTTTCTTTTTTTTTTTAACTTTACGTTCTATTGTATTTTAAAATAGTATTACATTCTTTCGCATTTCGAACGTTCTATTGATTTAAATAATACCAATATTAATAAACTTTAAGCATATTCTTTATAAGCACGATTTTACTTCTGTTTTTAAAATTTAATCAAGTCTGTTTTTAAAATTTTAAAGGGTTATAAAAAGTAACATGTATGTTTTACTATAACTACCTTTTATACAACATGTTTTTCAGCGCAATGACTCCATGAAAAACTGTAGTCATCTTTTGCCAGCACACATTCATTTAGAAAACAGTTAGTATGCGATAGTATCTTAAACAGTTTTATGGATATACTTTTCGATAGTGATGTTTAATTGTGATTGAGTCATTGCAGACTGGAAAATGATAATTCCGCTATTGGTATCATAAAAAAAAATTATTAAACTGTTTAGGAAATGGGGGGGGGGGGGGAGCTAAATGAAGTGTCCACCCCCTAGTAATTTAGTTGAGGCCGCTATCGCCCTTTCACCTCTCCCCCCTGTTCCTACGCCACTGATAATAATAATAATAATAATAATAATAATAATGAGACATAAAGTAAGAAAACATAAAGCTAAGTTGAGTGAGCAATTATAGATTCGACGTATAAAAGATATAGAATATCGCAAGCATTGCAAAGAAATGACTTAGGAAAATCTGTTAACATGTTATCCACAAGATCTCGCATACGAATAAAAAGGAAATGGTGAGAAAATTCACGAGCTTATCGACAGCGTAAAGCTGAAGTAAGGTCTTCAATGCTATCAGATGTTGCAACACCTTTTATGGCATCAGACTCTGTTCAAAAGAAAAGTTGTAGCTTTAAATAGATCGCAAGTTTACAGAAGACTACTGCACAAGATAAACTAAGCAATGCTAAAAAATAATTGATAAATACAAAAAATGGTTTCAAAGTTTCAATAGTTTGACCATGACAGTTGCTTTTATCAAATATTAACAAATAGCTTTTATAAAAGTTATTTGTTAATAATAAAAAGAGTAATAATAATAAATTAAAGATGTTCCAAATTTTAAACATCTTTAATTTTATTAATATTATTATTTTAATTTTATTAAGGTGCCTTAGAAAATCCATACGGTCTTGTTACAGAACAGCACGGATTAGCATGTAATTGGAAGTTCACGCTTCTTTGCTAACCGATGTCGCCAAACTTGCCCAGAGGTGGGGTTTGAGCTAAGGATCCTTTATTTCTGAGACAAGTGCGCTACCACTGCGCCACGGCTGCTTTAATCTATTTCTTTATCGCCTTACATAATCTGAAAGAACTGCGTAAAAGCTATATTTCAGAATATACTTCTTCAATTTCATTTAACTGGCATAGGTTGTACAACTGGTTGTACGTTGTAAGTTTTGGTTGACCTAGAGTTAGTGACAGAGATAAATATGCTTGTATAAAACATAAAAATTTTCAATTCGTGGTTAGTATACATAACAGGATAGCTGCGTTAAAGGAAAAAAAAAGTTAACTTCTATGGTTGGCATGGAAGCCAACCATATTATTTATTTTTATGTTAAAAACACCTATGATCCTGTCTCAAAGTTAAATTTTGGAAAAAAAGCAAGTATGATTTGATTCAAAGGGAAGAATATGATTTCTAGCATGAATATTTTTTTAAGAATCTTCCACAATGAAGAAATAGCAATATTTTCGATCAAAGGTTCAAAAATATAATGTGATCGGCTTACGCCGAGTAAATATGTTTGCATCATTTTGTCAAATTCTAACCTTTAAGTCTATATTGTTCATTAGACCAACAGCTTTCATATAAAACTGTTAAGAACAACATCTTTCATATAAAACTGTTAAGACCAACAGTTTTATATAAAAGCTGTTTTTTTAACATTTTCTATTAAAACTCAATAGTTTTAATAAAAAAAGTATCTTTGAACTGCAACAAATTTTTTTTCTTAATGGAAATTTTACATAATTTTTATTATCAAAATAAAAATTCAAAACTGGAATATAATATAATTTTTTTAAGACAAACAAATACGGATTGTTAAAATACCAGAGAAAACTGGTTAAAAACACAAGAAATAATCTAATAAAATCTAATAATGTAATAAAATAAAAAACTGTTGTTAATGCAATCTATTAAATGGTTTTGCAACCTGTAATCTTAGCAACATAATCTTTTATCTCAGAAAAAACCTACATAAATTATTTTGATATTAAAACACAGATTGAGAAACTTAAAGAAGCTTCTGCACTTAAATGAAAACGAAAGAGAGAGGTTTTTGAGTTTTTTGAGCAGGATATATGATAAAACATTTTTATTAAAGTCTTAACTAATAAACAGTGACAGTGAAAAGTTCCACAAATTTTCTGTTTTTTATACAGATTTAAAGGTAAAACTTCAAGTAAAACAAGCTGCATATCTGCTTTGATACCATCGAAACTTCAAGTTTTCGATGGTATCAAAGCAGATCTTTGATACCATCGAAAGATGAATTAAAAATGGAAAGGACTTCATATCAGATTGATTATTTCTATTCATTATTCTAAAAAATTCCTTCACCTGCAAATCAAAAATTCTGAGATCTAATAATTAACAGAGCTCTAGTCAATATAGAACCCGTGGCCGACAAAACGGTTTTCAAAGTATGTGTGCGTGTGTGTGTGTGGGGGGGGGGGACGCAATTGTAAATTTTGAAAAAAAAGTCCCCTAAATCTAGAATTTATTTTGAAAAAAGAAAAAGCTTCTTTAAAAAAAGTGAGTAAAAACACGTACATCCAACCGGCTCAAAAACTCAAAACAAGTGACTTTTTAATAACTTGATAAGAACCACAATAACTTGGCGAGGGCCATGATTTTGGTACCTGGTTCTAAAAAGTAATTTAACAAATATAACTTCAAATCAATATTTTAAACGTGAAACAAAACCTTTTTGATTTTGATACAAAGCAATTACTATTCCTATTTTAAAAATACTATCAACTTTAAGTTATTGAAGTTCTTGTAGGATTATTACATCTTTAATTATGTTGTTTACTACATCTTTATTATTTAATTATGCGTAATTTTGTTCGTTATTTCATTACGCAATTTCTTTATTTATTTTCTATAGTTTTCTATAATTAAATGGGGTCTAATGAAATAGTTAAGAGTTAATTTTTTAAGTTTGCTTTGAGGTTATATACAAATTTTTTTTTTATTATTAAAATTTAATTGGATTTAATTGAAAAAAATAAATATTTCTAAAAGAAACTTTATTTAATTTAAAACATGATTATAAAACTCTTATATTTGGGGAGAATATATTCTATATCTCATTCTATATATTATCCCATTGGGCACAGTACGTTTTTAAAACGTTTTTTAACCGTTCTTATTAGGTTTAAACCTAATAAAAGTGTCCAAAGAACGTTTAATAAATGTGCTCACTGGGATAATAAAGTTATAATAATAGTCGATGGGTAATTAAAGTTACAATTAGTTAAAAAGTTTTTAATCTGAGTAGTTTTCTGGTGAAACTATACATAAACACACTTTATTTAATACAATATTGATATTTTGATCGACAAGGTGACTATATGGGGAATGAAATTTAATATAATAAAAATGTTCAGTTCTACACCTAAGCTAGAAAAACAAATATAATGTCTTTACCATGTACAACCCTGTGAAAAAAGTAAAGAATTATATCAAACCTACTAAATCAAATTAATCTAGAAATACATATTGAAAATAAATTACTATTCTGCGACTTGGAAAATAGTAATTTATTATCAAGTCATGGAGGTATGCAAGTTAATAAAGCAATGCAAATGATATGCCTAATTAAAAATTCTCCTCGCATGGCCGATGACACGGGTTTCGAAGTGGAGGGGCACAATCGTCAATTTCTAAAAAAAAGTCCTCTATATCTGGAATTTCATTATAGAGAAAAAAAAAATAAAATAAAAAGGTCCTTAAAAAAAGTAGGTACCCCCTGGTGTTGTCGGACCTGCCTCATATCTAAATTCATTTTGTTTTAAAAGAATTTTCCTCGTACTATTTCGATCATATTTCGAGAGTACTGTGGATCTGTATATAACTGTATGTATAAGTTACACACTTTACATATATCAATATCACACATATATCACACTTTACATATATCAATATCACACATATATCACACTTTACATATATCAATATCACACATATATCACACTTTACATATATCAATATCACACATATATCACACTTTACATATATCAATATCACACATATATCACACTTTACATATATCAATATCACACATATATCACACTTTACACATATCAATATCACACATATATCACACTTTACAAATATCAATATCACACATATATCACACTTTACATATATCAATATCACACATATATCACAATTTACATATATCAATATCACACATATATCACACTTTACATATATCAATATCACACATATATCACACTTTACATATATCAATTTCAAACATATATCACATTTTACATATATCAATATCACACATTTTTAAAAAATTCAATAAAATTAAAGTAGCTTCAGTATCTTTAATTTTTTCAAAAAAAATTGTTAAAAGCTATATCATTTTTAATGTAACTTACATATAACTATTTTATTACAAATAACAAAACTAAAAAATTTTAGAAATTCACTTTTTGCTTTAATGAGGAAATACTTTAATAAAAAAGGAAAACAAATATTATAAATATAAGAAAACATTTTTATAAATATAAGAAATAAATTTAAAATTTTTAAAAACTTGTATAAATATAAAACAAAATATAAATTTTTTAAAACGATCTTGTGCTATACAAATTGAGTTTCGCGAGTTTTTTCAACTTTTGCGAGTTTTCCAAGTTTCGCAAGTTTTCCAACTTTCGCGAGTTTTCCAACTTTCGCGAGTTTTTCAACTTTCGCAAATTTTGAAAGTTTTAATACATCAACTTTAAAATTAGAATTAGGAATAAAAAAAAAATATACAAATTTGAGAGAAATATAAAATAAATATAAAAAAATAAATAAGGTTTAAAAAGAGCTGTTTTGTACATCAACTAAAAAAAACTGTTGATGTACATAACAAAATCTAATGATCCTAGAATCGAACTTTGTGGTACGCTACTTGTTACCAGTTTGACTCTAATTAAAACTCTCTGCTATCTTTCTAAGATTCATACTTTGATCAATAAGCGGAGCTTCTTTTTTGATACCTTACCTTTCAGGTTTTTTAAAAATGTCATTGATATTATGAAAATACTTTTGATATTATAAAAATACTACGCTGCATTCAGCGAATATATGTTCTAAACCACTTTCTAAATAGAGATTTCACTTTTCAGCCTAGTAAATCCCCTATTTATACAGCCAAGTAAAGACATTTCCATTCTTCTTTGATTCGGCGAATTTTTCGGAACCTTCATATGAACCTAATTGAAAAGTTATACAGTATAAAAAATTAAAAAAGAGTTTGATAGCAAAAACATTCAATTCATTGAATTTTTTAATCTCAATTAATCTGGAGAAATTACTATCAGGTTCGTCCATAATTACTATCAGGGTCGTCCATAATTACTATCAGGGTCGTCCATAATTACTATCAGGGTCGTCTATAAAAATTTTATTCAAAAATTAGTCATAAAATTCGGACCCTCTAATTAGACCTTTAGTTGGAAATCAGCAAATGTTAGCAAATAAGGACGATTTGGAAGTAAACGAACTTGATAAATTATAAGCGTTGACATTCAACTTGGAGATTAAAGATGTAATAAAGATTGTACAGATATATAAGTCTTAATTAAAATACCCTAAGTAATAATTTAATTATAAATTTCCTACATATTAAAAACAATAAAACGTAAATTAACTTTGGTTAATAAAAATAAAATACCATTTAAAACACAGTGGATTTACTTATAAAGGTTTAAAAATGATATTTTTTAGTAACTGCATGCTATTTTACCAATAATTAGCAAACTCAATCTGATAATACAATGGCGTAACAATGCAAATCTAATATTAGCGTCGCGCTGAAGAAGAAACAAATTTAAATGATAATTAAATGCAGCGCGAACCAAGTGCTTTATGTATAGACTAATCCAGCCCCAAAAGCGGCCTCTTAACTGCTGAAGTGACGTCACATGCGGGTCTGAGCAAATCAATGCACTACCGTAGCATGGGGTATCAAGCACTTCAAAGGGTAATCGCGCACCCGTTAACATATTCAACATATTTAAAAGACAAATAAAACATTTAGTAATAATGCTTAGTTCATTTTCAAGCTAAAAATACATAAAGTAACTTTAAGAAAGTATAAGTTGTTAATTACAGCTCTTTTGGAAGAAATTAAATAACCAATAACATATAAATTATATCACGATGTAGATTCATAGAATTTCGTAAAAACTATTAACACTAAGAGTAAGCATTTATATTTTAAACTTTCTTAGAATTGTGAATTTTTCTCTTGTACACCATACATATATTGCAATAAACTCGTAAATGTTTTCAAGTCTTATAAATGAATTGTTCATAAATTTTAAGTCTTTAAAGTAAGGTAGGGTAATTGAACACTTACATATGAGGTAAATAAGCACCTTCTGAATTTACTGGTTTTTATTCTTATAACTTTTTTTATAATAAAAATAATAATTAAAGATACAAATAATTTTAATTTTTAGCTTATATTTTTTACTTTTTTATAGAAGATTTGTCGAAATGGTGAGAAACTATATAAAGTAAGCTCAAAAACAGTCTAAAACTCACTCTGATAGTAAACTTAAAAGAGCTATCAAACTTGTTGATGATGGAGAACCTTGTAAACATATGGCAAGGCTACTAAACATACCATACAGAACCTTAAGGTGTCATATTAGTAGTTTACGCAAAAGTAGTGTGGTTGGTCAAAGGAATTCATTGCTACCATACGTGGAGATGTCAATTGCACAATACATTGCAACTTTTAGTGATTTTGACTGTGCTTTTGATAAAATAGACCTCAAATTATTTGTACAAAGTTTTCTTAACAAATCTGGAAAAGACTGCCCGTGTTTTTAAAGAGAATTTGCCTGGTGATGATTGGGTAAGATCATTTTTAAAACAGCATAAAAATCTTTTGTCTTTTAATTGAGCATGTCAAAAATTTTGTAGAAAACGTGCTGCAATTTTATGTGACCTAACAATAGATTTTTTAACAACTTAGAAGACACTATAAAAAATGTTCAACCACAAAACATAATAAAATATGAGGAAAATAATCTTTCTGATGACGCAAAATCAAAACAAATGATATTTAGGAAAGGTACTAAACATGCTGAAAGAGTTATAAATACATTAAAATCATTAGTGTCTATAAAGTTTGCATGCACTGCTCATGGTGTTTTTCTTCCTCCATATGCTGAGCGTCTAATGGACACTTGGATACTTGGAGGTCCAAATGGTTGGTTTGATGGCAATTGTTTTAAAGATTGGATGCAAACGTTAGTAATACCTTACTTCAGACATGTTGACAACAACACACCAAAACTTTTTATAGGTGATAATTTAGCATACCATTTATCTATTGATGTTATTGAACTTTATGAAGCTAACAACATTAGGATGGTCTTATTACCTCTTAATAGTGCGCATTTGTTACAGCCTTCTTAACCTTGCAGTTTATGGACCCAGCATGGAGAAAAGTAGTTACTGAATGAAAAATTGGTGAAGAAAGATTTCATACATTCCTACCAAAAAATATTTTTCCAAGATTGCTCCTTAATCTCTTGACTAATATGAATCATACACAAGAGTTTGTTGTAAATGGGTTCAAAACATCTAGTATCTACCCACTAAACAGAAAAAAAATATATTGACAAGATTTTAAAGACATACATATCTAAATATTCTCAGAACTTAGTATTCCGATTAGTTCTTGAACGTCTTGCAGAACTTTGAGAAGCTTCTACTAAAAAGCCTGGAGCAGTAATGCGTGGGAAAAAAGTTAAGCTTTCACCAGAAAAAAGTGTTTCACTGGGAAATATTGCAACAGATTCCTCTGCTTCTAAAAACCAATCAAAACACAAGCTATTTAAAATAAAAAAGACAATTTTAATGAATCTTTAAATATAGAAAGACAAGAAAGAAATTCAAAATTAAATTTAAATACTTTTAAAGAAATGAATGAATATGATATACCTAAAAGCTCAAAGATGTATTTTGAGCTACAAGAAGCTTCCGATAAAAAAAATTCGCTTTTCCATCAAAAACAATCGCACATGCAAAAAATGTTTAACAACTACTCAAATGAAAGCACTTACGAAATAGATTCTCTTTGCTCTTAAAAAATATGTAATTCTGGAGTAATTGCAACCTCTGAATATTTACTAGCAGAGGGTTCTTATGTTGTTGTAAAGTTTGAATGAAAAAAGACACCATATCTTTTTGTGGGCCGAGTTGTAAATATAGAAAAAGATAACAATTGAAATATTAAAAACTTTAGACGAGATTCTAATGCTTCAAACTCAAGAATCATCTTTTTCAAAGAACCACAAGTTCCTGTTTACTTTGTTACAGAAAGAAAATCAATCATTTAAACATTTTCCGTGTCCCCTATATATAAAAAAAAAAAAAAAATTTATACTTTTTGAAAGAAACTATCGGTGACTTGTATAATCGTTAAAATTATAATAGTGTGTTTCATATATTTATATGTTTTTTAATATACTGTTATCTTAGTTCAAATGAATTATATATTTGGCAAGGATTTTTCATTTGTATAATATATATATATATATATATATATATAAATATATATATATATATATATATATATATATATATATATATATATATATATATATATATATATATATATATATATATATATATATATATATATATAAGATTTAAAAATTTGTAGACATCCAATTTTGGAGGATCTTTGGGGCCTAGCCACGGCCTAGTCTGGCCTATTGGAAATTTTATTTAGAGTTTTATTTGGTATTAGCCTATTGGGTAATTCTGCTCGATATGTATATTAATAAAATATGTATGTGTGTGTGTGTGTGTGTGTGTGTGTGTGTGTGTGTATGTGTATGTGTATATATATATATATATATATATATATATATATATATATATATATATATATATATATATATATATATATATATATATATATATATATATATATATATATATACATAAGTTATAATATATATAACATAAGTTCTTTACTTACTATTTTTTCTTAAATCCAACATACCTCTAAGAAAGATTTAATGTATTACTAAAAAACATATATCACTTTTTAAAATTATCTACAAGTTTTTTTTTTATTTTCAAAAAGCTATTAAAAAGGTGCTCAATTACCCCACGCTACGGTACGTTTAAACAAGTATGATGGAAAAAGTTATTTTAATTGTTTTGTTTAAACTTTATTTAATAATCAAGTTTTACATTTCTATTTATTTTATAATTGTTTAACTTTATTGTATAATTGATTGATAGCATTTGGGTATATGAGTTGTCTAAATGATTAAAATTTAGTCTTACTATGAAATAGTGCTCTTCTCTATTCCTTTAGCTGAGTCGTATTGATGACGTATGCTAAAGGTTTTTGTCTCAGTTTAAAAAGCGGTCCTACAAATTTGTTTTCAATGAGTGCTTTCAACTGTTTTTTCAACCTTATTCTTAAACGGCGTTGTAAAAATGTATAAATAAGGGCGTCGCATATAAAACCGATTCCGTGCAACATAAGCAAAGAATTCGAAATGTTTGGATTTTCCAACAAAAACAAAAGTTTCAACAAAAGATTTGCTATATCTGGTGCAATAAAAAATGCGATAAAAGAAATTATAATAAAAAAAGGAGTAAAAAAATTTTTTTTTAAAAGTCTGTTATCTTCTTTACTACGTTTTGTTTTTTTAAAAATTTTCCATATGTATATATATGTACTAAGAGCGAGTAAAAATAAGATCCCCTCAAATGATGGCAATATATAATTGAAAATAAATATTACAATGCTTTCATTGGAAAATTTAACTAGAGATATTCCACATACAGCACCGATTCCCCAACAGAAAAATAAGACTTTACAGACATTTTGTTTTGTAATTAATCTATTGTAATGAATGTTCAAATAAATCTCTAAAAAGCGGTTTACAGTGAGTAGCATCATTATCATAAAATTGGGTAGTAAAATAAACAAGCACGCAGAAACAATTAGGTAAGTCTGTGTGCTGCTTTCCACCTTGCATTGTATAATTATAGTTTGTGCAAAATAGCTGCAGCAAATAAGAATTTCATTAACACTCATATTTAATATTATAACATCTTGAATACTGCGAACGGCATTACAACAAGTCAACAAGTAAACACCTAAACAATGAAAAATGATTGCTAAAACGTAAACAAAGAGGGTTATAATTCCTAACGTAATATAATTACTAACTGGTATAGTTGCTAATGTTTCGTTTGTATAGACTCTAATTCCACTATTATTCATTGCTATTAAAAATAAGCTAATATTTTTAAAACATTATTATATATATTAAATTCTATACAGCAAGTTTACTAATTACATGAAACAACACTAGCAATATATATATATATATATATATATATATATATATATATATATATATATATATATATATATATATATATATATATATATATATATATATATATATATATATATATATATATTTATATATTTATATATATATGTATATATATACATATACAAATAGTATAAAATTTGATGGTCTAGATTAATTTAATCTCTTGTATACTTCAATAGTAGTAGTAGTAGTAGTATATATATATATACATATATATGTATAATATATATATATATATATATATATATATATATATATATATATATATATATATATATATATATATATATATATACATATATATATATATATATATATATATACATATATATATATATATATATATATATATATATATATATATATAAACAAAGAGGGTTATAATTCCTAACGTAATATAATTACTAACTGGTATAGTTGCTAATGTTTCGTTTGTATAGACTCTAATTCCACTATTATTCATTGCTATTAAAAATAAGCTAATATTTTTAAAACATTATTATATATATTAAATTCTATACAGCAAGTTTACTAATTACATGAAACAACACTAGCAATATATATATATATATATATATATATATATATATATATATATATATATATATATATATATATATATATATATATATATATATATATATATATATATATATATATATATATATATATATATATATTATATATTTATATATATATGTATATATATACATATACAAATAGTATAAAATTTGATGGTCTAGATTAATTTAATCTCTTGTATACTTCAATAGTAGTAGTAGTAGTAGTATATATATATACATATATATATATATATATATATATATATATATATATATATATATATATATATATATATATATATATATATATATATATATATACATATATATATATATATATATATATACTATATATATATATATATATATATATATATATATATATATATATATATATATATATATATATATATATATATATATATATATATATATATATATATATATATATATATATATATTCCTAACAGGTTAAATGTTCATAATAAAGTCTTTATAAACAAGCCGACAAAAAAATATTGATTATTAACTTGCGTAAGTTGGAACATTTTTTAAAGTCGTTAAACTTCCTGTCGCGTCAATTTTTTATCCTTCTTTAAAAAAATTGACTCATTCTATACATTTTTTTTTGTCTTCGGTTATTATATTTTAACAAAACTTAATTAAGATCGAGGGTTATGACCAACTTCGGGTGATGATATTGGGCTATAATAAAATGGCCATTGTTAATGACTAAGTTAGAATCAATGCTATAAGCTCAAATTAAAAATAAGTAGATTAAAAAATATAAATTAATAGATAGTTAACCGTCATATTATTACAAAATTTTTACAAAAAAAAAACTTTCTTCATTTAATTTTTAAAATTTTATTAAAATTTTATTAAATTCGAAATTAAGTATTTAATTAATTTATAGAATTTAAAACTTAAAACGGTAAACGTAAACGAAAAAAAAAATGTATGAAATCATTTCTTAAAGAAAGTTTTTAACTTTTATGTGTTCAATCGTCCAACTTGCTTATCTAAAAGTTACAGATGTTATTAGTTATTACAAGATGTTTAAAACATCTTGTAATAACTAAACTTAAAAGGACCTTTTAAATACGTAATTTTGATTTCTATAGTCGCCAAATATAAATATATTTTTTATTAGACAAAGATTTTTTGTTGTTGTTGTTGAAGATCTTCTATAAACAAACAATAACAACAAAAAACATGTTTTAAATATCTCAAAAAGACAAATCTTTAGCCATATACAAACTTCTATATGTTAATAATCTCTGTTGATTCTAGAAATAGCTTTTTAAAAACTGATTTAGCTTAAAAAAATAAATGAATAATTTCTCCACTTAATTTGCTGTACTCCAAATAACACTTCATAATAAACAAACTCTAACCACTGCGCCACGGCTGCACCAAGCAAAGTTTATTTTTTATTAATTTATTTTTAATAATTTATCTTTAATAAAATTATTGGAATTTTTCTAAAGCTATGACAAAGTAATTAAAGTAATTAAAACAATTTGTTTTAACATGTCATCTCGAATTAAATTGCTAAATATAACATGTGGAGTTTCTAAAGAGGACCTATTGTTTCTTATATGCATAAACAATCTCTATGAAGGATCAACTTAACAACAATAATCTTTGCTGACGACACTATCTTTTTTATTATCTCATAGTAACATTTCGACAGTATTTGATTGTTTGAATTATGAACCATTCGAAATTTTTGAATGGTTTATATCAAATAAACTTTCTGCTAATATTTGAAAACCTTTTGCATCTATATTTTTAATAACATCTAATGCTAGGTAATTTGCCTGTTTTTAAAAATTTACCTTTTCATTTAATAGAGAGGTTCAAATTAAAAGTGTAACAGTTACAAATTTTGCATGTTTCTTTTAATGAATTAAGGAATAGTTTTTTATAAAAAAAAAATCGTCTAGCAAAATTCCTAAAAGTGTAGGAATACTATTAAAAGCAAAAATCATGTTAAACCAACCTACTTTAATTCAGCTTTACCATTTATTTACTCATTTCCATATGAACTATGCAAATATGGCCTTTAGTTAGTTGATGGCTACATATTGCATCTTTGTATCTAGCAATATAGTTACCAAGTATCAATAGCTACAAATAGTACACTGCTGTAAAAAAATGAAATATTGCTTAATGTTATGACCCAGAAAAATCCTTTGGAGGTATTATTGTACTATCATTGGTGTTTACTGTGATATAAGTCCCTAAATCTGGTTAAACCGTCCGTGGAAGAAAATCCATTTTCAAATTTGCATAAAATTGCATTGAAAAACTGCAAATATATTAAACTCTAGAGCAATGAAACTTAATTTTTTATAACTTTTAGTTTCATTTACTTCATAAATATTGACAGGTGGTGTTAAATAAGTTGTCTTTAGAAAAATTAAAAGAAAAACTTAAAAAAAATGTTGCATTTTTTTAATTTAAAAAAGAATATACGAGTTATCAGTACCAAAAAAATTAAAAAAATTTGAAATTTGCTTTTTTATAAAGTATTATGATAAAATTATGTAAAAAAGCTTGATCATTAGTTGTATAATCCATTTTTTATATAAACTTCTGAATTAACAAAAAAAAAAAAAAACAACTCAAACAAAAAATAACAAGGAGAACAGGAGAATTGTTTGCTTCTTGGGTCTTGGCAAGGCTAGTCACTTTTTAACCAGCTTTATGACAAAATTATGAAGCAGACAACTGACTTAAATGATCCAAAAGTTCCAACTAGAATTTATGAGCTTTGCTGCTCCAACCTTAGGAGGTTTGAGGAGGAAAAGTTTAAAACACAGCTTTTTGATTTCTCTACTATCAAAGTCCACCCTTTTACAAGAGATTCGGTTTGTAATTGTTTGATTAGCTCAACTGGCAAAGCAAAACACAATTCTTCACATCCAGTCTTGGCAACCAAGAAACCTTCAACAAATTAGAACTCAGTTGAAAGAAGATGTTCTCAATGCTTTTCAATTGTTAGCAAGAGTCACCCACATAGTTGCTCAAGGTCTACCGTGCAAAAGAATTCAGCAAAAATCAAGTCAAAGGACTTTGTGGCAGCTGAAAGAGTTGCAGCATCAGTCATTGCCAATTAGGAAGCTTCACCCGATGGAGCAGTTCGTCTTAGTAGACCTGTGGGATTAGGTGACCACTCTATTCCAGCTTTTCTAGGTAACATTGTACTAGATAATTAAAGTTTTAGCTTCGTATTTTAAATCTATGTAAGGCATTATAATGTAAAATCTCTCTAAATTATTTTCAAGGTTCGTCTTCAAGAGCAAAAAGAATATTTAATGAAGGACTGGAATAAAGAGCAAAAGTTCTTGTTTATGTGCAACACAACATAGAGCTGTCCACTTCTAGTGTGAAAGCTGGTGTCAACACTAAATCAAGTTGTTCCAAGTCGGGTTGTTGAGAAGAACATCCTCTCCAAGTTTGATTAGTTGAGCAAAAAACTGACAAGTGCACAAATCAGGTGGATAAACTTGTTGTTAATTGCAAAGACTTGAAAGTTATTTGTCAGGAAGTTCATGAAACTAGAAATCTTTTTTACGACTACATCGTGAAGGTGGGAGTGGATGATGGTCGTTTTCTAAAAGTAAGCTTTAGAATCAAGGAAAAAAATTCAGCTTCACAATCTCCGCCATCAAAAGTTACTGATTGCCAATTCTAATAATCTCCATGAGAACTGTAGCAATATCAAACAAGTTTTTGATCTGCTGAACCTTGAAACACTTTCTAGCACATTCTAGTGTACACCCATGCTCTTGGTGTGACATTTCATCAAAAGATCTTAATGCAAAGTGTGAATCTCTGAAAACGTTTGGATCATTCAATAGAGATTATTAGGCATTTAATGTGGCTGGTGCTAACATTGAAAATGAAAGTTCATTCAGAAACTCTGTTCATGCACCCACCATCTATGCCTCAGAGAACCCTTTGACCATGATGTGCTTCCACCCATGGAGCTGACATGAATTCGTAGAAGATGATTTACAACACCAAGAAACAGATGATTGTTGCTTAGTTTGTAAATCATCTTCTACGAATTGCGAATTGGCATAAGTGCGTAGCAGTTTTAAAAACTAGTATAAATGCAAATCGGCATAAATGAGAACTTTTGAACAAATTGCCAATTTATTCGGTGCATTTTTGACAGTTTACACTTATGCCAGTTTTTGTTACTGCTTTGCGCTTATGCCAATGTTTGCTAATCCTTTTAGAGTACTTATACCAATTTGCATTTATACAAAATTTTGCGCTAATTTGCACTTATTCCAGTTTGCACTTATGCCAAAGTTTGCAAATTCTTTTGGTGCACTTATGCCAATTTAC